CATGTAATTTATTCCATTTACCTATCAAGACTACATGTCAGAAATATGTTTTTGCCACCTCAACATTCATTTTTGTGAAAGAGAAATAGCTCTGTAGATCTACTGATGGAAATTTGTATTATTGTATAACAAAGTCTCGTACCTTTCCTTCACTCTTATATCTGTAAGGACACTTACATCAACCTTCAGAATTCCCAACTGGTATGTCTTACTTTTCTTTCTTCTCTTTCTTTTCCTTTTCTCCTTTTGCATGATGGTTAGAAAATATAGACCATTGTCTATTTAAATGGGTATACAATGTTGTGTGTCTGTATACAAGTATGCATATACATTGTATGTGTATTGTATAAATTTTGTGGCCATGTATGGGTTATAAAAAAAAGAATACATGGGGAAGAAATGATTTAGACAAAAGTAAAATGGAGGTAAGTCTGAAAGGTTGAGTTATTTTCCAGTCCAGGTATGCAGAAAGGTAGTTCAAGCCCTGATAAGGAGGGTAGGCTCACTACATGTACCTCCTTTTTTAAGGACAAAAGGGTAAAAGGCCAATGCATCAGATCAGACAGCAGGCCCCGCAGCACCTACCACATCTCCAGCTGCCAGCTGCAGCCTCCAGCTCTGCAGCTGCGCAGGAACGGCCAGCAGATGCTGCACCTGAAACTGTTGAGGTCAGTATATGTATGTTGTGTAACTAACAATGGGTTCAAAAGTCATTTCCTATGGCAGTACATGGCAATCAACATTGCTGAATAATTGGTTGACAATCTATGCATGAGATGCAGTCAGTAGTATCTACATTCTAAGGCAGGCAAACAACATGTTTCTCCATCATTCCAGTAGCACAGAACATTTACATGATTTATGTTTTAAAATTACTGAATAGATACAGAATGAGTGTCAAAGAACAAATGAATGCACCATGTTCTGTTACCATGCACATGTTTTTTTCAGGACTCTCAGTTGATACTCATGGTGTGTTTGGTGTCAACTAATACTTGGTGCTTATTGGTATAATAGATGCTTCCTTAGCTAGGCCTAACTTCTTATAATTCATCTTACAGTATGTTTGCAGTATGCTCTTCAAAACACCTTACAAGTATCAAAGTTATTCTGATCATGAAGTGTATATATAAGGTTGAGTTGTATGCTACAATTGACAAAACTAACATTCATGTATGCCTACTGACCTTCCAAAGGCTGCTTCACACATTAAGCACCAAGTCTTTCATTGTGCGCCTGATTTAATTAGGTTTTTGGCTGGCATTTCTTCATGCTCATTCATTCATTCATTCTATTCTTTTCCTTTGCATGTACCACCTTCTGCCACATAGGGAGAACCTCCCACTGCCCCCCTCCCATCGCCCCTCCCCTCTCCAAACCTGCCCCCGCAACAGCAAGATGCCGTCCAGACGCCCACCAAAACAACGTCGTACCAGAAACAGCCACCTCCGTCGCCACTTCTTTCGTCCCTCCTGAAAACGAAACACCAAGAGCTGGCGCAGCAGGGTCTGACCCAAGCCCCCCTGGTCAGTCTGTCTCAGCGTCCCGTATCTTTTATTGTTTTCCATGATTTAACCCTACAGCACATTTACTCCCTGCTACACCTTCTTGCCTTAGCTCATGTTGCAGCTGTCTTGTTCTAACAGTTATGTGATCTTCTCCTTTACATCTCTACACCTTCTGTTGTACAGGTTGAAATTGTGGTACTATGAAAGGTCTTACAATGGGAATGGTGAAAATAGTTAACAATTTGTAGGTCCAGCCCTTGTAACAGTGAGTGAGCGAGTGAGTGAGTGATTGAGCAAATGAACTAATCAGAGAAAACAAAGAATTGTAAGGACATTGTAACCTTCCTGTCTAAGGTTCATTGTGTCTTTCTCTGTGAGAATAACACAAACTTTTTTTTCTTCCTTCTGAAAAATCTTTTTGGTACAAATGAATCATTCAGTTCATGACTGACTGACCCAAAGCATTGTGATAGACCTAAGCATCATTCTGTTTTTGACAATGTCATACTTTATAATGTATTTGGATTTGAGGTATGTCCTGTATCAAGTACGGACGATGATAGTAAAGTTTACTTGACAAAGTGCTTACATGTACATGTAGCTTTTCATGCCTAAGGTCCTGCCTCAATTTATTTATCTATCTTGGATCCATATGGGTAGTGCCTCCAATGGAGCTCATGACAGGTAGTCAAAATACAGTTATGGTTATTAAGAGGTAATATAATGTAATATATTTCATCTAAGATATCTCACATTTCACCCACAGGAGCATGACCATTCTTCCGTGCCACAGCCTCTCCCCCCACTTACCATTCCACCTACTTCCCAGCATTCCATGCTGGAAGGGTCAGGGGTCATGCCAGCCCCCCTGCAGAGCCCAGCAGCTGCGGTGGGACAGAGCCAGGTGTCTCCAGCTGCTACAGCTGTGCCAAGCTCACCTTCTGCAGGTGCACATATTGTGTTTTTTTCAGCAAAAAGCATATAAACATTTGTACATTTTTACATAATGAAATACCATATTCAATGATTCATAATGTTGTAGATTAATTGCCTCTGTTAAATAACAGCTAACCTTGTAGAATTCAACTTTAGACTCTTCCCTTCTACACTAAGACTTACTACATTGTTATTCACATTTTTTTATTGTAGCCATTTGACATGTAGTTATATAATTGATCCTAACCTGCTAGATTCCCTCAATTTAGTATACTCTATCTTTGCATGGATAGATTTTTTAACATAGACTCTGCCAGACTGTCTTTCCTGCAATCATCACTGACTGAGTCTGAGTTGGGTTCCATGTTCACCCTACAGGGGCTCCCACCCTCTCCAGATTACTTAATAAGACTGCTCCTGCTGCTGCACATCATCAGAAAAGCAGCCAGCCTCCTTTACCCTCTCCCAACCCCCTCTCCCCCCCTCCTCAGTCGCCTTCTCATGGGCATCCCCAAGGTAGGGAGTGGTCTCTCATCATTCTAACATAGTGACTAGGCTGAGGTAAAAATGTTGTGTTTCCGGCTCCCCCCAAAACCCATCAAAAACTCAAGCCTTTTGGGGGGTCAACTGCTGACATCTGAATTCCAAACCACTATTTCACGCATTTTCAGAAGAAAATTGTTATTGAGAATATCTTGTCAGATAATACATGTATTTGTCCCTTCTGCACATTGTTAAGCAAATGGTGGGACGAGACCTAGAGACAGCCCTGGTCCTGATACGTATGACCTTTTTTCATAGTTAAACTATTTTTGTATCACTTCAGCCAAAATCTGGAAAAAAGGGAATTTGTACCTATCCTACATCCCTAGAATCCTGGAACTGAAATTGGAAACACAGCATTTTTTTCCTAGGCCCTACTCATAGTGTACTTTTCTTCACTTGTAGATGTAATGTAGAGTACAAACTGTGCATCTGTTTCCCCTCCTATCAAATAGTAATAACAAGTAAACCATTTGCTGATAATAAACATACATTGTAGCCTTCTGACCAAACACAAACACAGCTTTTACACTGATAAGACATTAACAGTCATCTAGCAGGTACATACATTACTGTCTACAATTGTATAGACACTGTACTGATTAGGGACAAAACTCACCACTAGAGCTTCGGAGATTAAGCTCATTAGTTTAACATGTACAAAGTTTCTGTTCTGTAATCTTTCCAAATTTAGAGATGGTCTCGAACCTTCAAAGCACCGCCAGCCAACCGGTGCATGTGATGACCAAGACACCGCCTGCCACCAGACAGCAAACCCCTGCAGTGTCCAGCCCACCACCAGCACCTGTAACAGCACAGCAGCAACCTAAAGTCAAACAGGTAAACTCTACTATGCAGTATACATGACTGTACATGTACATGTTCTATGTAGTTGTTCCATAATAAATAAATTGATGGATGTATATTATTAATTAAGGTTGAACTGTAATTGCCAACACAAAACAAGATTAGACCAACCCAACTTTCCACTTTCAACTTAGGTTACCCATCCCTTGAAAAAGACCTTGAGTTGGCTAGTCAAAATCTTTAAGTCCAATTCTTTTTTTGTTGGCAATTATAAGTCAACTATGAGTCAGAATGACTTCTACCAACATTGGTGAACATTCAAGCTAAGATAGAGGTATATGTACATAAATTACACTCAGTCTGTTGGAAGTCAGGCTGAAAAAGATCAAGTGATTGCATGGACGTTGCATATGCACCAAACGTACAACGTTCTATTTTTTTTCAGGAGCCAGTGCCTGAGCCCCAGCCGACCAGCCAAACCTCTTCCAGTGTTCCGTCTGCCACACCCACCCCCTCAACTCCTCAGATCAAGGAAGAAGCTAGACAAGTTGTCCAGGAGGAGGTTGTCCGGGTGAAAGAAGAGCCAGTGTCCCAGATTGAAGCCACTCCCACAGCCAAAGTGGATGAAGTCAAGGAAACACCCAGAAGTGCGGTAAAAAGGAAGGGCCAGAGAGGTCAGTGCTTACTAACTTATTTTGAAAAAGCACCAAATAACCAATAACTGCCAGAAGTATGAAATCTCTGATTTTGTTAGTAAGTTTACATGATCATACTTCATAGATTTCCTTTGACATGTGTTTATACAGGTCGACCCAGAGGATCCCGAAGGGGCACACGATCTCGAGCAAGGCAAGAACCAGTAAGGGCTCTCTTTTGCCTACTTGGTCTAGACTTTTGCCTACTTGGTCTCATTTAGTAACAACTACAATGTAGTTTGGTAAGGTAAAGAAAAAGTTGAGGACCTACATACTACATTTAAACCTATTCCTCTGGATAGATGTTGTAATTGTTCCATGTTCCACAGGATGAAGGTGACCGGGAAGGAGACCCAGTGGAGGGGAGTGACACAGGCGACCCTGGGAAGGAGGACACGCGGAGTGAGGTGGAGTACTCGGAGAGTGAGGATGGCCGTCCTCAGGACAGTGATGATAACTCCAGCATCAGTGCTGCAGGACCTCATCCACTGGCAGCATCTTTCCAGTCTGACTCTCTCCCCAGCAGCCCTGCATCTTTCTCACAATGGTATCTGACATGTACCTCTATCCTCTGTCTACTGTGTGTACTGTAGATAAGATAGTGAACCTTTCTTTGGCTTTCTTTTGTGGTAGGAGGAAAAGGGTGGTTTTAAACTAGTGGTTGAAACAATTCTGAAGTACAGTATTCAAACAGTAAGACATATATGCATAGTCATGAATTTGAAAGGTCACAGTGTACCTTTCAATAATTACCTTTGGAGTCTGATAAGTGCAAAATGCAAGACACATGCCATAACATGGTCTCCTGCTGGATGATTGTATGGTTCATTTAACATACATGCTAAAGCCTTATGGTATACTTACGTATGTTTTGTAGCATTTGCTTCAACTCTACCACTATTATCTTAGCTTAGGAAATAGAATTACAGGGAAATGAACCACCGTTGTTGTTTCATTCACATCTTTACATGAATAAGACATGAATATTTCACATGTTGGTGTCTTCCGGTCTGGTTGCAGTAGTGATGATCAGGAGACGCTGAAAGCAGAGCGGGCCTGGCGGAAGGCTATCATGATGGTGTGGAGAGCTGCCGCCTCACACAAGTATGCCAACGTATTCCTCCACCCTGTAACAGATGACCAGGCACCGGGATATCACAGCATTGTGTTCAGGTGGGGAGGCAGAACATCAGTATTGGTAGTAACTTGTGTCATTTTGCATGGGGAGACAGGCAAGTCAACCCCCTCAAGTCAATGCATTATAGTGCAATGGAGCAACTGTCCTGATGTTATAATTTTTCTCATGTGCATACGTTTATATGAGTGTTGTTATTAAATCCTTGTTGTTACAAAATAGGCCAATGGATTTGTCGACGATCAAGAAAAACATTGAGACTGGTTTGATCCGCACCACAGCAGAATTCCAGAGGGACATCATGCTGATGTTCCAAAATGCCATCATGTATAACAACTCGGACCACGATGTCTACCACATGGCTGTGGAGATGCAGAGGGACGTCATGCAGCAAATCCAGGTAGGTTGAACTGTAGTAGTCAACATCTCTTACAACAGGTAGGTACATTCCAGGTAAGGCCACACCAATATAATGTCTTGGTTCTCGGATATGCCTACTTCATTGTTTTTTCTGTCCCCCAAATGCCCATATTTTGGCAACAATGAACAGTTGAAAAAAGTCCTTGTATTGATAGTTCTTACAGTTTTTTTACATTTATCAATGCATTGAGTTATAAAAAGTTAAAGATTTACTGTTTGAAATCTAAACAAGTCTAGCATGTTGACTTGGTTTCCTGCAAGAATCTGTGGACCAACAAATCAAATTGGTATGGCTTAAATTGAGGTCTGACTTACTCATTTGTGAGCCATCTGTAGCCATTTTGTAATCAATGCAAATAGTTACCCAAGAGAAACACAATTAATGTTTTGATAGTGTAGATTTTGAAAGTTCTCTAAAGCTTTCTTTACAGCTGATAACATTTATCCCAGGCAATGCTATTTTATCCAGAATGAACAAGATGGCTACAGGTGTTTCCATGTTTAGACCATGTTGCAGTCTTTATTTATGACATTACAACAAGATATACAATTGATACCTGCTACATGTATGCTATAAATCCCAGTAGTATTTAGACAGGGGCTTCTACACACAGAATGCTTTGGCTGTGGTAGGCAGTAAGTGAATTAACTACAATACTACAAGTTACAGATGCTAACATTGTCATAACTTATTGCCAGGCAAGCCATAATGAGTGGTAGGGGGCCAGTACCCATGGCCTTAACACAAACATGTAGGTAGTAGCTACCTCTCAAGTTTGTTAGGTGTAATCATACCATCTGAACTCAAAACAGTCATTAAGTTGTTAGTGGACTAAGTCTTGTAGAACTCTATTGTTATGTTGTGTGTATTACATAGTAATTTACCATAGAACATGGTGTCCTCTTGTGTGGTGTGAATTTTCTCTCTTTCCTGTCAGCTTGGTACATCAATATTTGTAATATAGCCAGCATCACACAGCAGGAAAAATAGTTTGTCTGAGAAGTGTGCCATCTCTACATGACATTATCAGCAGCAATTCGACTCAATCACTTCAGGAATTTTTTTGATTGGCTGATGTTCACAGAGCCTGTTTAATGTGATAGGGTAGATTTTTAGGCTGTAAAATTTGACCCTCCCATGGTTTTGAAATTTGAGACCTTCAGGTGGTAACAAATTCAGCTAGTGTCATGCTGGCTTAAACATGGGCACAAGTCTGGTTTGGGATGCATGATGGTGATGAAGCATGGAAAATAAATTGGTTTTGGTGAAGTATAGGTTTCTAATGAGAATGTGGGGACATTATTTGCTATGGTGTGCTCTTCTTTCTCACTGACTCTGTCCTCTTCCTACATTCAAACAACATAAGCAATTCTTGGCCACTCAGCTCATGGTGCAGACGGCAGACACTGGGAAGACCCAGCTGAGACTGAGAGAGACCACACGCAGACCAGAGGTCAGACACTTCTGTTGTGTGATATTACTTGATACAAGCATCTGCTATCTTTCCTCAGTGACTAATAAAGAATGAGTCTGAAGTGTAAGCTATGTAACATGCATATCTAAATTGATGCATAACTTGCAAACGAGAAAAATGCAGGTAACTCCTGTTGAAACTGTTTTACCGCAGGATCTACTATGATTGTGTTCAGGGGACTTCTGTTGTTTTTTTTGTACAGGCAAAAGCTTTATGGACATTTCAAGGAAGGAATATGTCTCGGTAACCTGAATAATCAAGTACAAATAATTCCCTCAGAGCATTCAATCTGTATCAGCTAACATGCAAACCTTGAAATAAACCAGTATACTGAGCTCTTATTCCCACCCACTATCTTCAATAACCAGTTTGTTAACTTCTTTACAGGACCAACAGAGACGAGGGTCTTCTGAAGAGGGCGGTCCTGGGAAGAAAAGACGCAGGGCTGATGACTTAACCTAATGAACATTCCCTTACTCTTACATGTAGCTTATCGGCCATTTCAGGCAAGTGTGTGATCACTTGTAGAATGGATCAACTTCTGTGTATATCAGAATATACTAACATATAGTAAGTAACACAGTGTTATTTGCTTACATCAAACAATGGTGCCAGTGTGCTCAAGTATGTTCATCTATCTGTATCAGTATAACCAGTATAACCACCCTTCGACGCAACTCGTATGTAAAAAAAGTACATGGAGAATACAACTGTAGGTGTAATTAAGACTGGATGATAGTACACAGATTTCCTATATCTTGATTAGATCCAGGATTGTTTGGTGGCAATTTTGATTAGTTTATCTTAACATGGATGCATTTGTTTGGGGCCAAAATTTTCTCATTACTAGTAAGATATGTAATGGATATTGGCAAATGCTATTACAAAAAAATGTACATGTACATCATAGTGTCACCCTTTGTCGGGTAACATCTGCCAAACTGTTGATTCTTGATATCAACATTCTAGTTTGATAATAAGGTGAACTTTCAGTATTTGTCTGTGAAAAAGAAGAAGAAGAACTGTGAAAAAGATATGCAGATGATTGATACAGTGCATGCATTATTGCCATTAAAACTTACCTGACTGTGCTCTTTAATTCATCTCCCAAAGTAAATTTCCTGGAGGTTTGTGAGCTTGAAGGCCACAAAAACCCAAAGGTGTTTGTGGACAGCCTATAATATTTGTGGTGTGCTAATAGTTTAAAATAACAGTGGCTAAGGATGAACAGTGACAAGAGCAGACAAGTATCAGACATAAGACCACAGCAAGTCATTTTTATGGACAACGTCAGCACACATTAATTTTTACCTGATTTGGGGGAAAAACAAGAAATTTTAATTTGTTGTCTGACAGTGGTCAACATGCCAAGCATGGTATGGGCAAAGATGTCTTGCTATGCCAAAACGTGGATGGCAGATGAATAGAGGAGATGACAAGGCTTTGATTTATGTTGTCCTTTACTTTGATGCAGAGAAGTATTTTATTCCTTTTATATGTGATGGTGGTGTATATGTGGTGTTCCAACTGAATCAAAACCATTTGTACAATGATTGAAAACTTATTTTTCTGTTTCAGTGACAAATGGATGTTGTAACAGTTGGCAGTAAAACGTAGCACAATATAGCTATCATTTCTTGTTTTAAGAAGGTTTATGATGTCAAAATTTGGAAATTTAGGAATCTTGTTGGGGTTTTTTTTTTGCCCGCCTTGTTTTTTTCCCGCCATATCGCATTGCATTTGGAGTCTGTGGTGGATGTCATCCATAAAATTTACTTGATGTGGCCAAAGGATAGACTTCAATCTTGGATATAACAAGCTTTATGAGATCAGCTTTGAGACGCCATCTGTCAACTTGACGATGTGCAGGTGACACGTATAAATGTGCCTAAACCTTGTATGCCGTAAATGATTGAAAACATTTTGAAAGGACCCCTCTGTGTGAACTTAGCTATAAGCGCAGATGTTTACCTGCAGACTGGTTCACCTTTGTTTAATTTTTAATAGGCTAAGGGCGCGGCCACATTAGTCGTACAATTACAAACTGACGACATATTCTTGGAATAGTCGAGGGTACTAGTACCATGTATATCGTACAATATTCCGCTATGCCGTTACCGAAAAGGTAAAAATAGATTGTTGTCGGAGGTTGATTCTGTCACATCATCATCACAGTCTCCATGAAAATTCTACCTCATGAAAACCCTACGAGGAAGGAGACCGCGCCCAAGGCATAATATCAATGAGTTCAGCCAAGCGATTTCAGTCAATAGAACATTGTTATTTGTTGCTCTTGACAGCCCTATTGCCACGTGTCCATCAGTCAATGCTGACAGTTGGGCGTGTTGTTTAACGTGTCAGACCTGGATCATAGTCATAACCACCCAGATCTCTACCAAGAACGGACAGAAGGCTAATCACACCTAACATTAGGCAGAAATGCAGTCCGGTGACTTCTCGTAGATCCGTAAAGCGCCTTGATTTCCACCATAGTGAGCACAAAGGGTTCTGGTATAAGAGGTTAACTAAACGGATGGCACTGTTTATATCTAACCCAAACGGTAAGTACTTCGTTTTGTGTTATGTATAGCCCTCCCTTTCGTTGACGACACAACCGTTTTCAAACGCACATCGTACAGGCTTTGAATTATTTTGTAACTTCAATGGCTAAATTCTTCTCGCAAAAATCTACAGGAAAATTGTTCAGTGCTTGTATGACTAACAGGACCATTTTAGCGTAATTTAGGTGTCACATCCACAGAGCCCCATTACGTGGTTTTGTTAGCTGTCAGGAAGTTAAGTTGCACTGGACTGGAGTTATAAAACTACACAAGATACAAACATTTACAGATACCGTACGAGTCTCCGACGATATTTGTAAAAGTTTAACCTCTCTGAAGTCTACATGCACACGACTTGTATGCCAGTTGTGAGGTAGCTACGCAACCAGTCGCCGAGTATATTTAGAAGAGGTCTGTAAAGTTGCAACATTAAAGGGACATTGACTTTGCACCAATGAGCCATTCTCAAATTATACCATCAGCTACTAAAACGCCTTATCAACAAACAGTTTACATCCAATAATATATATTGTCCTTGATTAATTATTTATGGAGAAAGCGATAGTGAATGATGAAAATCCATTGAAATGGAATCATTATCACGCCATACTCAGATGAAACATGTACGTGCAAGTAAAGTACTTGTAATAATGTACTCTCTTATAAATATTTTAGTCCTCATGAATTTGTGGTATGGATATACGATCAGAAGATCGAAGAATCGAGTTACGACGTTAGTCATTTCTTTCTTCTCCAGTCATGTGCGGACAGGTCTGCGGTGTGTGGACTGTGTCTGTCCTTATCTTTATGTTACATCCATCAACGGAAGGTGAGGTCAATTTGTATGTACTGCCGTATATACATGTAGTTACTTTTAGTACGACCTTGTATTGTTTTCGGCGGCGCTGCTGGTTTAGGGGTGCGGGCTGTATGTATCTCGTTCTCAGCATCAAGCATTGGAAGTGCATGAGTAGGTTGAGATTGGATTTTGTCGTACTGTATTAGTACTGTTTTGGGGTGCGTTTCGTGGCTTAGATATCTTCTACAGACTCAAAAACTGTGCCCTTGTAGCTACGAGTCCATCTTGCGGTTCGACCCTGACTTATACGTCAGGGGCGTTTAGCTCGCCGAACTTTCCGCATAACTACGACAGCGACCTGCGGTGCAACTGGACAATCGCTATCGGTGTGCCGGTGTCGTCAGTAGTGCTGACCTTCGACACCTTTAAACTGGAGTATGAGCCCAACTGTGAGTACGACTACGTGGAAGTGTGGGAGAGGCGTCTGGAGGAGGAACATCTACTGGGTACTGTATTGTAGTGTCTCTTATAGATAATATTATCTGTCATATAATGATTTTTTCACTTTGGAGGGAGCGATCTGGAGGCAAGCGATGGGCAGAATAGAGAAGAAAGCAGTGGTTGCCGCATCGTCAACAGATGGGAGCGACAATCATGATTATGATGATGATGATGAAATATCTTTAAGTCTATGCCACTGGTACAAAAATTATGAATCAAAGACGATTCAGATGACCGAAAATTTAACATGGATACTAATTTGATTGAGAAACTACAAAATGCGTTTCGTCATGTTATTAGTTTAGAATTAGGAGCTTTTATACGATCTCTACACAGGAAGGTTTTGCGGGAACAATGAAACCCAAGACAACTTTCCCCCGGCACAAGTCCGCTCCGAGTCCCGCCAGTTTACAGTCATGTTACCGCAGTGACGCATGGGTGACGTCAGGTGGCTTTCAATGCCAGTTATGTCAGCAATGCAAGCGGGGGTAGGCACAACTACTTGTTCCTTACATTAATATGTAATCAGAACAGGCTTTTTACCTTCGTGTTGGCCTAATGGACAAGTAGTTTGAGAGTTTTGAAGTAGCTGGTTCCGATTGGCCATTTTCTATATATAGAACTATTCTTTTCCTTGGTTCTAATTGGTCTATCTTCTCAGTCAAACATTCTTGTCCTTGGTCCTGACTGGCTATCATCTCAATCTGACATTCTTGCCATAGCGTGTGACAGGGACATAAGTGCTGTAACTCTGTGTGTTCCAGATGTGACATGTGATCAGTATGAGTTTCGCTGTTCAGACGGTTCAGAATGCGTCCCCATAGTTCTGTCCTGTAACGGCCGCAAGGACTGCTGGGACGGTAGTGACGAAAGCGGCTGTGGTAAGTTTAACATTTTTTGATCGCCTCCTCGTTTATAGTATCGCGACGAATGCAAAACATCAAGTTTTCAATCTAGAAGATAGAAGCATCGACATTTAGATCCCGAAATGTGAGTATACTGCTGTTGATACTAGCAGATATTAGGGAATGGCCTTAAATATCATTGATTTCATGATCAAGTTACGACTCAAATTAACCTTTTGTTTTTTAGAGTGCCAGACTATCCCGGACGCACACAGTTTCTGCAAAGGTGAAATAACGTACGATCGCACGACTAGCAGAAACCTCCTGGGCTCAAATATCCCACCGCAGGTTTTGGAAGGCATTATTCACCACATACAAGCCCAGGCGGGGACGTGTCATCCCGATGCCTCTGCGTTCATATGCACCCTCTTGGCGCCAAAGTGCGAGAACAACAGGTGATGGTTTGTCATCTGCGAAAGTAAAGAAATCGCAATCTGCAGTTCCAAATGGTTCAGCCAATGATAGCATGGCAATCTGCACTTCGACCAATGCGAGCGTGACTACGGCCGTGTTTATGTGAAGTCACCCAAACCGCGATTAGGGTAACTCACATTCGTCACATCTGGTCTTTAAAAGGAATGTGTGGCACGTTCTCGGCTCGGTGTGATTCTCCGAAACTACATTCATTGTTGTTGATGAAAACACGCTAGGTAGCGTGTCATTATTGTCAGAGGTCAACGACCTGGTTGCTCGTGCCCCCCTCCCAGCGTGTCTCGGCCGAAAGCCGACGTAGTCCCGCCAGAGGCGGTGAAGTTCGTCCTAGAACGGACACATTATTTGGCCATTACTGCTCTTTAAGTTGCTGATACGTAAAATTTGGTATTGCATATAAATAAAGACATATCACCCCGTAATCCATGACCAAGTGAAGTCACATTGAAATCACATTGCGTTCAGACGCAAATCGCGATGCGGGAAAACCGATTCGAAACCACCTCTAGAAGTGGCTTGGGATCGAGGCGCTTTCATTGTGATTTGGAGCGTTCAGATGGAGCCACGTGCACTTGAAACCGGCTTCGGGGTAAACCACATGTAAAGCGCCTTGGGTGACTTCACATAAACACGGCCAAAGTTGACGTTTTGGTACATTTTGTCCTAGTTTGTTTAATTTTCAGAACGCGGCCTCCGTGCTACTCGTGGTGTCAGGAAGTGCAGGAGGCTATTCTTCTCCCAAACTGCGCAGCCCGAGAGTGGTTCTCCCAACTTCAGTTCCCGTCTTGCGATACGTTTCCTCACGAAGACTGCTACAATGTTGAGGAACGCCAAAGTAAGTCCATTCTTTCAATATTGAACTCTCATCTTAAATAACATGATCCGTACATTGTGGAGTGCTGTCGTGATTTAAACGTAAGGTCCTGGTCACGTACGTCGTGCGTGGTACGATTGGAAACTGGGGGCATTTTTGTGTGTTGTGACAGTTCTGCATGTGTTTTAGCCTGCTTGGTAAGTGTATGACGCCCTACGGCGAATTTGACCACACCGTAACCGGTACCGACATGTCCTTATACGATTTAAATATCCCCTGCCTGCTAAATTCTGATTCAGGCCACTCATCGAGGTGTAGATAAACCTAGACTTATATGTCTATTGATTTTCAGACGCTATATTCGAAGTTGTTCAACACGGCGAATTGTGTGTGAAATTTCCTTGCACTTTAGGTTGCTTTTACGGCAGAGGACAGAATTACAGGGGAACTCAAGGCGTCACTGAGTCTGGACAGCAGTGTATGGAATGGCAAAGCGCACTACCGTTTGTAAGTTGTATTTTCAGCATGTAAGGTTAATCGGAAAGGAAGTTTGAGGATTGACAGGAACCGAACTATTTATTCATTTATTTAGAAACTCGTGCCCGAAGGTTAACTTTAAGGTAACACACCACTAGTACGAGGGGTGTTCAAAAAGTTCTCGGCCTCACCTAGAAAACGTCATGGCAGTGAAATTTTTCTCACACTATTTTTAATATAGTCCTCTCTAACTACAATACACTTAGTCCAGTGATGTTCCAGTTTTGTTTTCCCCTTGTGGAATAAGGTTGCATCCGGACCCCCCAGATTGGCCTCTACCGCATAGATGACGTCATCATTACCATCAAAACGATAACCACGTAAGTGGAACTTGAGTTTAGGAAACAGGTAGAAGTCCAAGGGTGCTAGGTCAGGTGAATTGGAAGGGTGGGGTTAGACTGCAAACCCAAATTCGTTTGCTGCTGGCACTGACCCCTGTGCTGTGTGGACAGATGCATTGTCAGCACGCCAGCTCGGAGCTTTCCTCTCCTTTTCTCTTTGATCGTTGTCCTCAAATGTCGTAATTCTGTTTAATAGTACTCTCCATTGATGCGTTAACCCCTTCGCAGGTAGTCAATCATGATTACTTCCTTACTGTCCCAGAAAAACAGAGGCAAAAACCCTGTAAACGGACGAAAGTCGCTAAAACTTCTTTGGGGGGCCGGGAAAAATTACTTTATTCCATTGTTTGCTCTGCTGATTTGATTCGGGGTGAAAGTGGTGAACCCAGCTCATCTTGGGTTACAAATGTTTTGTAGAAAATTAGCATGCATTGGACTGAATTCGTTCCTTGAAATGTCCCGCCTGTTTAACTTCTGATGTTCAGAAAACATTCGAGGCACCCACCATGCAGACAGTTTGTTCATCCCCAGGATGTTCGACAAAACATTGTGAACTGAGCCAAAACAAAGGCCAAAGACTCTGCTACATGTTGGACAGTCTCACATCTGCCATTCACTACCCATGTGATCAATGGCCTCAAATGGATTGTCCGTGGTGCTGATTTGTGGCATCCTGACCTATGTTCATCTTTTGTGCTCTCCTTGCCGCGCTTTTAGCTAGCAACCCACTTCTTTATAGTTTAATAAGAAGGGGAGTCATCACCAAGTGTCTTGACCATGTCTTCATGGATTTCCTTAGGAGACATCCCTTTTTATCGATACACTTGATCACAGCACACGGTGCTGTTGCGGCCATTTTGTGATTTTGCCCTCACCCACCCCATTTTCACGGGGCGTCACGTGCTAATTAATGAATATAAAAATTTGAATTTTTGTGTGCAGTGATGTAAGACGTCATAGTATACAGCTATATTAAAGAATAGGAGTTTGACCTTTATTTTCTAGGTTGGGCCGAGAACTTTTTGAACACCCCTCGTATATAAATAGTTTGTAGATCTATTTGATGTTTTTTTTTGAAGCAGTGGCTGATGAATAGTTTTTAGAGATGTGGTTTATTACCTCCATGAAAAATGGAGGTATTGTTTTTGGCGTGTCTGTCTGTATGTATGTATGTATGTATGTATGTCTGTCTGTGTGTCTGTCTGTCTGTGTTTCCGCAACTTTGTGGTCAGCATAACTTCAGAACGCCTTTATGGATTATGATGATATTTGGTATGTTGGTAAGTCTTAGGAAGACAAACGTCAAGGTCAAATATGGGCCTCCTGGTGGATGACCTTGGTACTGCAGCAGAACTTCCGGTTTTTGTATCTTTTGTCCTGAACATGCTATGGTCTTGATGTTTTGGTGAAAGATTGCTTTTCCTGTGAGGAGTAAGTGGTGTGAGTTTGGTCCCCCTAGCAGCTTGTTCTGGAACTGCAGGGCACTTTCTGGCGAAATGTTTAAAAGCCAATAAGTCAAGATAGGAACAACATATTTTCATAATTTTTGGTGTGTAGGTAGCTGACAGAGAGATGTACATGATTAAATGCAAATTATGCAAATGAGGACTTTATTTGCATAATTAATGAGGAAATTCTATAATTACAGTGTTTTACATTATACTACTTTCATACATGTAATGTATGTAACCTATGGCAGGCAGAACATCAACAGATACTAATTATGCAAATGATGACCTAATTTGCATAATTTATGCAAAAATTCTATGATTTCTTAATGGTGAATTATGGGAATGTCATACTTGGGACATCTGTAAGTTAATCAAAAGTTCACATACATCACAATGCATATATCATGTTAATGCGGAGGTAATTTGCATAATTAAAGAGGAAATTTACATTTACATATCAAGCCCATATTTCATGGAGGTATGAAATCTCGGAATTCTTGTTTGAGTCTTGTAGAGATGTTTTCGTTTTTTAAAAACTTTTCTAAACGGACAGCCAACTATTCACTCTAAAAGGAATCCCATGAGAAACTTCCCTTGGATTGTGATGGTACGTCTGTCAAAAATATCTAACAATGTGATTTCTGTGCAGGACACGTCCATAGAGAGTGCAATCCGTCCCTACAACCTGGAGAAAAACTACTGCAGAAATCCTTACAACTCCGACAGACCCTGGTGCTATGTTTTAAAAGATACCTTTGTGGACGTCACCTCAAAGTTTTGCAACATATCTACCTGCGAAGGTTTGTTTGTTTGTTTGTTTATTCGATCTCCATTAGATTTACATGAAATCTATTCTTCCTGGAGTCGCAAAATTACAATAAAACAAATGTACAGAACAGAACAAAACAAATGTACATGAAAGTAAAACCAACATAACAAAAGGTGTGAGTCTTAATAAAAAAAATAACATAACGCACACAACATTAACTGAAAACTGAACTTAAGTGAACGGGGAGAGGTCAGAGGTCATGGATGATTAATGTAACAAAAACTGTTACAAAAAGAGGTTGCAAAACTGCAAACCATAAACAGTAGTAAATCACAAGTGGGTGCAGAACTGCAAATCATAATAACGATAAGTAAATAACAAAGTGGATGCAGAACTGCAAATCATAATAACAATAAGTAAATAACAAAGTGAATGCAGAACTGCAAATCATAATAACAATAAGTAAATAACAAATTGGATGCGAAGGTACGTTTATCTCGAAGCTACAATTTTTATACCAGAACGACAGTATGTGTTTTGGTTAAGTAGGGTCGAAACATGCGTGGATACTCATAATCTCCAAGCAGATCTTTTGCTGGGGGCAAGACAGTATCAAATTGGCCAGTCTGTACTCATTTTCCCACCTCGACCCCCACCAAAAGATCTGCTTGGAGATTAGAATACTCATAGTTTCTGTGTGAGTTGTCCGTCATCTGTATGAACTACCAGACCATTTACAAATATACACAACTTAATACACGTATCTTGTCTTTTTAAATGTCATCAAAGGAGATCACCTGTTCAACTGTGGAGTCAAGTATACAAACACCAGTGGGTGGTTTGCCAGCCCAGGTTTCCCCCAGGCGTACGGCATAGCGATGCAGTGCAAGTGGGAAATAACTGTGAGTAAGGTTCACAGACAAGTCTGTATGGCAGCCATTTGGGAATACATTTATATGTAACTATTTTATCATGTATTCTATTCTATCCTAGGTATGTTGATCCTTTTAATCGATTTTGTACATTATGTATGTTATAGGTGGCCCAGACGTATATGATTGAGATATCATTCACCGACTTTGACCTCCAGCCTGGCTCTGACGGCGGATGTCTGTACGACAAGGTAGAGATGTTTGATGGAGATTGGCCTGACGGGAGCTTCACCTCCTTAGGCAAGTGTTGCGGCAAATCTTGACTTTCTTATTTTGTATAGTCTACATCTTATAGTAGGTTGCAGCAACAGGTAGACGTGTATTTACATGATCAGTTTGATAGTCAACTATCACTAAATGATGGTCGATCAACAGGTAAAAGGAAAGAGCTGGGGAAAGCAAGTGTTCTTGTCATAACCTCTCTCCTTTTTGCTCCAGGAGTGTTTTGTGGTAGTGCTACGCCACCAACCAAACGAACAAGAAGTTATATCCTCACTGTGAAGATGTCTACAGATTATGTGAATAATTCGCGAGGTTTCAATGCCTCCTATGTATCTCTTACTCGAGGTAATATGGCAAATTCAATAATTGTTTGATTTGATTATATGGATGACATCCGCGCGCGCGCGCATGAATTTTCGGCCGTTTCAAAAAAAAAAAGTTTTCAACCATACTGTAAATCGTACAAAACAGTTGCAAAATGAGCAAAAATATACCGTAAGTTACAAAAAAAACATACCAATGTCGTAGAATGCCAAAATCAAACGAAAAAAGACGAAATTGTAAACAAATGAACTTGAAGACTAGATCATTCGCCAAACCATATTCTGTCCCATTTGTTCAACCCTCATGACCACGTAGATTTCATAATGAAAACAACTTTTTTTTTTCAAAACTTTTTTTTTTTATTCGCACGCGCGCATCAATTTTGGGGTTCCCGGAGGATGTCATCCATATAATCAAATCAACATGGCCTTACGTACAACCCCTGTATATTTTTGGCGACGCCTCAGGAGCCATGAGCCTTATAGTATAGTATGAAACCAGTCCACAAAATTCTAGAAATTATACAGGAATTTCTTTAATGCCCACTGCTGGAATAACTTGTAGGCATTGTAGCTTAAGTGATAAATGACATAGTTTATGCATATTATGCAAATAAGTATAAAGTTTCTATTGTCAGCCTTCTTTCATATACCAAGCCGCAGTATTTAGCCCGAAGGATTTTCTGAGCATTCTCTAGTGTCAACGACGAAAGGTAGTGGATGATACCTGGAACGTCTGTCCGTTTCCGAAATAATATCCAATTGCTGTAATGACGCGTTTGTTTGGCGATATTTATAGCCCAGCAATCCGTTCTGGCTGACCAACATTTTATTACGTCATTTGACAGAACCAGTAGGGTGTGCAGAAGGGACCTGGCTGTGTGCGGACCGAGCCAGCTGCGTTTTGGTCAATCTTCTTTGTGACGGCAACCCTGACTGCTGGGACAGAAGCGATGAACAAAACTGTGGTGAGTATATTCTCTTTGCATGGTGGCCCATGTAAATGTTGTCTCTGCACTTATGATAGATTCTTTGCTGTGCTGCCGTAGTACGTACAGCTGGGATGCCCTATAAAATTAACTACATCCCAGGGGACTGGGTATAAGATGCATACATTTGCTAGCCTGGATGTCGGCCTCTTTAGCTTTAGAATTAGTACACTCTCTTGGCAAGAAAAACTGGACCAACACATTCTACGACATCACATAAAAAACGGACATCTGCCTCTGATTGGATGACCTCATACTACGCTTTGGCCAATCAGTGCAGCGGGCCTGTTCACGTTTTGAACAGATATTGAAATGACAGATTGATAGAATGTGTACTGCTTCAGTCTTTTGGTCAGGAAGGCGACCGAAATAGCGTACTAAAGCTTAAAAAAAGGGCGGGAATCCAGGCCATATACACTTGCATGGCCATATACATGGAAATACTCTGTCAGTATCACTTCAACAGGCACCGTAAGTTTCAGACTGAACACTCATTATGCAAAGCCTCATATCTTATTATTAAGTTAACGTTACTTTTTAGATCACAGATAATTCATACATGAATAAAATCGACGGTTTAGGAACCATACTGAATGCAGACAATAGACTTGACTGCCACGACTTTGTTTGATTTCTCACAGAGTGCCACCAGATCCCGAAAGAAGTTATATTTTGCCCGCCGAGTAATATGCAGCCTTGGCCAACAATATTCCCCAACCTGTACAACCATCAAAATGTTACAGAGGTGTTACAATCAAGGCAATTAAGACAGATATTTGATGATGCTTCGGCGTTAACAAAATACCCCTGTCACCTACAGGTACGTACGCAATAAAAAAGAGTTAAGATGGCATTTTTGGTAGTCAATTTTTATTCATGATAAGGAATAACACAATTTGTCAAAAATGGATAACACAATTGATGCCACTGTAGAAAAGAAAATAGCGACGCTCACACCGGCTTTTGTCTGTTCTCCAGGGCTGGTTCTACACATGCTACAGCTTCTTCCCGGTTTGTTCCGCCAGACGGCGCGTGCCCCCCTGCCGTTCATGGTGCATAGAGATCCGCGATAGGTGTCAGGAGGATATAAGTGCCGAGCTGCTGGAGCTAGTACCCTGTAACGACCTGCCTTCTGAAAACTGCTGGGAGGGAACTGACTTGACGGAGGCTAAAGGTACATCCTGTTATTGCAGACGTGTTTGGAAACATACGTCGTACTTAGGTTTCCACCCATCTGTTAGCAGTAGCTATAGTGTTTCAGTCAGTAGTTACTAGTGCTGCATTTTTCAGTCTTAGCCTCTTAGGCAACAGCAAGCATCAACATACGCACATGATAATTACGTGTATGTCATTAATGGTCCATTTTGAAAATGAAGGCATATCGTTTTTTTTCACGCTCTCCTATCAATACATTTGGAATCTAGAGGGATGTTACATAAAATGCTGTGGTCTTACTACCGTTTTTCCTTGCTTTGCCAGAGTGTTACTACGGCAGTGGTCAAAACTACAGAGGAAGCATAACCGACACAGTCAAAGGTAAACCCTGCATCGGATGGGAAAGTAGGACGTACGAACTAGACAAGTACCCGTGGGCGAACCTGGAGCAGAACTACTGCCGTAACCCTGACGGAGCGGAGCGGCCGTGGTGTTACGTGGGAGAAGATGGTGAATGGGACTACTGCAACATCGAACCTTGTAGTGGTAAGATAAATATTCTGACTTTTATTCTTGGGATATAGATAGTCGTCTACGCGTCGCACAATATTCAGCTGCCTTAGATCTTTGTTGGCGGTTGGTTCTGTCACTGCCTGCATGAAATGTCTACATCAAAATCTCACAACAACTTATCTATGCATATGACGAATGTGACCATGCCATATGGTAATTACTGTCTCATTATCCGTTGTTCCATGAGGTCGTGTTTGTCCTGACCGTGGCGTCCCCCGGAGAGTCATCCCCCTGCACCAGGCCAAGGCCTACTACTGGCCGGGAGAGAAGGTGTCCTACAGCTGCGAGGACGGCTTCACTCTGGTGGGGCCGGCCATTTCGGAGTGTCAAAGAGATGCCAAGTGGGACCCCGAAGAAGTGCCGACTTGTATAGGTTGTACAACTTTTATTGCTTAAACTGATTAAACATTAATACACAACGAAAGTCACGTAGACACATACAACCAAACAAGCGGAAACAAATTAACTGAAAAATGTAAGGAAGGTCTGGAAAAACTGAATATTACTTTATTGTTTAACAAGTTAAAACAGAAAACAGATCCAGACAAATTAGTTTATTTTTTTTGGAAAACGACAGGATACTTTCCAGTCGTTTCTAACGTTACGTTTATACTATCGTTCCAGTTGACGAGAGAACGCTGCTTCTGGGTGAAAAACTGAACAGAACCCTGTACAACCCCAACCTCCGCCCGAATAGCGACAAAGTTATCATTACGGTGGAGGGCCTTGTCAGCAGTATTGTCAATGTCGTGAGTCAAACATTTATTTTACTCAGAAGTATTGGTTTGGCTGTCAGAGCTGTGTGTCTGTGTTGTCCGGACAGATTTAGAGTAGGTTGACCGCACGTAGGTGGGGAGATTAACAGGCAGAATGACAGGTCAAATGTCAGACCTAATACTGTCTAGAGGTCTGAAATCCACGACTTCTTGTTTACATCAAGATGTCTCTTGGTGCCGATGATAGTCAAACATGTAAGTTTTGTTTCCAAATCTCTTATATTGAAATACATATAATCTGTCATGTTTTTGACGGTTTCTACAGGACGAAACAATACCGTCCATCACCACGGACACCAGCTTTTACTTGGTAAGGGTTTGGAATTTTTAAGTACCTAACAAATGGATGTTAAAGTGATTTGGCTGTATATGCGTCCCTCTGTGTGTCATATTTCTCCAGGGTTCATATTGAAATTTATTTGGTTTAGTAATCGAATCATAGATAATGTATTACATGAAGGTAAATTGCACAACCATGTGAGTGTATTTTTTCTAATATCGATCTTTTGGTTAAATTGTTGTCATTCTGAAATCGTCTTTTTTTGTTTGTTTGTGTAATGATATCGTACTGCTAATTGTACTAGCATTGGAACGACCCTCGGCTAGACTGGGAGCCGTCATCCTATGGCGACCTGCAGCGTATAGAGTTCCCCGCCAACAATGTATGGAGACCGAGTATCCAGCTGTTGAGGAAGTACGTAAAAACAGTGCACTGTGTTTAGTGGAACTTATGTTTTAGATGGTTGCTGGACTATCTTTATTTATTTTTCCATGGGATTTTTTTACAGGTTATTTATCACATACATGATGTTGTTTGGTCGATGAAGGTTAGACATCCAGGTAATACGATACACCAAAAAGCAGTTACTCAAGCAACTGGATATGATTTTCAAAATCATATCCAGTTGCTTGAGTAACTGCTTTTTGGTGTATGATGTTGTTTGGTACAATTGTTGAGAATTATTGATATGTTGTTTTTATTCTGTTTCATTGAAGTGCCAATCCTGACTTCCGAGGTTTTCCTGACGTTAACGTGGCCATCAAAGAGGACGGAGAGATTACGTGGACATTAGGTGAGAACACTGGGGTGTTTGTTATTGGAACAGCTCAGTCTATGATGAATGCATCACACTCAGTTGTATAGAAAAGACTTTTACAACAGCTTTGGAGACAGATACAGTAACGACGATGCAACATCCGACTCAGTTCGTAGAAACGGACCACGTGGACGAGATTTGGTATTACCTAAGATCGAAAACAAGGCGCTTCATTACAGCATAATGGTTAGATTTGAAGTGTTGTATGTTACTTCATTCAGAAGATCCCTGTATTATGTGTATGTACAAGCGTACTAAGTTATCATTTTGGTGACTACACGTTAACGTATTAAGAAGCCAGAGTGCACCTTTGTAAACAATACATTTCTACCTGTTTTTACTCAGAAAATCTGGTGGTGACTACGTGTGATCTCAACCAATACTTCTTCCCATTTGACAATATGACGTGCCCGGTGTGTGTGCACGTGGGAGGAAAGTTCACGTCTGGTGACGAGCAGGGTGACGAGATTCGCTGCCGAGAAGAGAACTCTACCGAGGGTGTGATGAACTGCAGCGTTTCCCAGGCGGTACAGGGAGGAGAATGGGTTGTATTGGTCAATATGGAAGCCAGAGACAACCAGGTAAAAGCTGAGTTCATCATTTTGATATCCCAAGCCCGTTTATCAGTACATTGTAGTATGTTACCTCGGAGAATGTCGTCGGGTGGGAGTAAGTGGGTGTATGCGGAGGCAATCAGGAAGTGGTGTGATACGTACATTAACGTAAACACTTCCTGGAGGTCCGTGTAGGTCTACGTCATGAAACCCCCAAATACTTCCCGGCTTCTAGAATTTCCAATTTCTTGTTGCACTTTTGGAATCAATTCATCTTTCAATTTCTAAACAAAAGGATTTAAGTAAACACTCATACTTCTACACTGTGCATCCATGAAGGCTTGTCTGATGTTGCACCTCCGGAGGAAGCCGACCTATCACTTGTGTACGACCGTCACACCGTTCATTGTCCTGTCGCTGCTGATGTGCGTCACGTTCTTCATCCCTCCGGACAGCGGAGATCGGCTCGGGTACGGCATGACCATCCTCCTGTCCATGTTCGTCAACCTCGTGGTCATCACAGACTTCCTACCGCGGTCCGGGAACATCCCGTTCATCGGTAAGTGCCGAAAGGTCGTACCATAGTCCTGATTCTCAGAGATTGAACCTAATAAGGGATGATATCTAATGAATATTGATACTCTCTGGTACGGAAGTATTGTTTTGGTCGCTATGTTATGGGCCCGTCTGTCTGTTTGTCTGAATCCTGTTCCTTTACGAGCTTTTCAAGAAGTGTTATAATACCCGATTAAGTGACATCATTCATCCCATATCCTATAGTTACCAAAACAGTTCGCGCAGCTCTGTGAACTTGAGGGTCGAGCTCTTATCCAAAGTAACATGACCTCCCGGGAGTCTGAAATCTATGATATCTTGTTTACTTTGTTGCAGGTATCGTGAATATAGTAGCCATCGTCATGATGAGTTTCTTCATGCTGGTGACGACTTGGGTGGTGAGGCTGTCCCGTAGAGAGACGGAGATGTCTCAGTGTACCAAAGTCTTCTTCCTGGCGGGCTGCGCACGCCTAGTGCTGCTCGGCGATATGAGAAGGTCCGTACGTGTCTGTATACTAAGTATTATATGCATAGGCAGATATTGATTTATTGATAGATCGATTACAATAGAGGTATGGTTAGATATATCAGATATAAACACAAACAATGTGTAAGTACCCCTTGTTGTCCTTACTCATTTTAGTTATTGTTTCGATCATTGTCCTACAGGGCTTCAGAAGAGGACAAGTCGTCCAACATGGATGGGGTCACTTTGATCAACAGCAGAGTGGTTCCTGAATCGGACCGGCTGGACGACGGCGAAGCACCTGGCGGCAGTCCTGAAGCCGACGTTGTCACCGTGTTGAAAGGCCTGCAGGCCGTCATGAAAAGCAACCAGCAGAGTCTGGAGGCCCTGAGAGAGAGCTTGGAAGGCTGGAAGAAAGGCGGACCGGGCTCCGATGATCGTGAGGCAGGAGAGAGCGACTGGGAGCGGCTGGCTCACGTCCTGGATCGACTTTGTTTGATCTTTTACCTCGGTGGGCTTATCGCCTCCGTACCCATTATCTTTTACTATGGGAACGGCCGCATAGTAATCTAGAGAATGACACTACATTTGTATGTTAACGTTTGAGAAAGGAATGATACATTTTTTGTTCTAACGAGGTAAATTTGATGTGATTATGGGTCGTGCATATTGGAGGGGACAAATACGTGGGTACTTTGCGCAAATAAAGCAATGTGACAGTCATAGAATGGGGAACACTTAACATGTGGTTACAGGCTTTGTGTAAGTTCGTAACATGTTGTGAACTTGTGATAATGATATTGTTATGCCTAATCATACATGTGTAGCACACAGGTTCTCAGTATATAGCATGCAAAAATTTGTGTGTAAGTATATAATGATATATAACAATGTGATATACATGTAATGGTAAAACATCTAGTCAACAGGAATGCGACTGGCCAATTAAATTGATGTTACATTTTCGAGTTGAATGCTGTAGAACTACTTGTGAATATATATTAAATGCGAATGCTAGAGGCAATCTTTGTGCATGTACACCGGCTTGAGTTTGGAAGAAATACATTTTAGCATATAGGTAATCAGACGAAAAAAGCACTGTGACCCCAAAATGTGTCACGGTGCCAGCTTTAGCATGCATAATGTCTAGCGCCGAAGTCGTTACAAATTATATCATTACTGTAATGAATGGCTATAAACAATACAGTTTTTGTCATTACGTAAAGGTGTAACAAATAAATGTGTGAAACGAAACCAAAAAAGTCGTGCTTTGCCTCATCATAGGCGATTTTATTTACTGTGCACACATTCCACACCTTCTCGTTCACTTCTCTGAATAATTCTGCCACTTAAGGAATCAGGAACCAGAAAGGGTTGTTATCGTACTGTTGCTGGATGTATTCCGGAGTACGACAGGTGCCTGAGATGGGCTGGATGCCTGTTATCCCTCCCCAGCACCGCAGTCCGTCCTCACAACCACAGTTATCAGACACGTACATCAGGCTGCACACCTGTCCCTCCTGAAAGCAAAATAAGAACTTTTATGGGGATTTTTGACTTCTGGAAAGTAATTTGGGGCTTTCATAACTTTCAAGTTCACCCCTTTTCCTGTGACTGCCCTTTTGACCTCCTGACCTTCTGCCTGTTAATTTTCCCCACCCACGTGCTGTCAACCTAGTCTATCTAGGCAAGCAGCTGAAACAAAAACAAGTAGGAGAGACTTAGTAGGTAGTTATCAATCACTTTCCTTAATCTCTAGTCCTCAGTAGTAAGTACATAATGTCCCCTTCTCATATAGATCAACAAACCTATTATAGTTTTGAATCAAAAACTACTTTGAACAGTTCCCTGCCTTACACAAATGTCGTTGTTTCCTGACGACCCCCTGGGAGCAGCTGCACCTGGTGCAAACATGTAAGCAAACAACTATGCTCAATTATAAACTATTTGTCTGACGTATTTATATTAGCAACAAATTAGTTTGCATATGTGTTGCAGGTATACATGTATGTACAAATAAACGTTTGGGAAGAAATTTGGTTTGGAAAGAGCATACTGCTGTATTACGAAACATATCTGAGTTACCTGAGGTCTTGGTCCACAGGTACCCGATATAGTTGTGCCGTCCATGATGGGGTAGAGCCCTGTTAGCGGAGAGCCGTTCACGTGACAACACTGTGTACTGCCACAGTCACGGTTGGAGCTGCACGCACCATTTTCCCCAGCGATTGCCTGACCCTGGTGCCAAAATCAGAATCTTTTGATGTTGGCCACAGAATATTGTGTGGAAGTGACATTTTCCGCTTTGCTTATCGACGTTACCATGCATTGCATGGGCGGCACATGTTATGATCATACCATATGTTGCTGTGCCTTATCAAGTACAAGTCGTTTCATAGAACACATGTAAGCAATGACAAATCACACACAATTGATAAATGACTTGGTAGGTAATACGAAATTAATCAAGTAACTAAATAAATTTACTGCATGTTACAGGAACACGTTCTCACTCACTAATGTATGGTAGCAAATGCGACCTGAAACGTCTGAGCCTTCAAAGAATTTATCCAGCTGCTTGATTTATTTGGAATTATATAACAATGTACATAAGAGCAAACCTGTGTAACACTTGACAGAGCACAAAATAGGAGCAGCGAGAGAAACATCTTTTCTGTGAAGCCGCAGGGGTCACAACAGGAAACACGTGTGCGGTGGACTTTGCTTACAGCACTTATAGTCTTCCGCAAATGTACAGTCATGCTCGTCACAACACCGCTGTCCGGAAAGCAATAAGTACACATTGTACTAGGTAAATAGATATTATGAAGTAAGAACAAAGTGTCAGTTAATCACCTACAAACACAACAAAAGGGTAAAGTGTTTGCCAGGATCATTACTTCAATGCCTGAATCTGTTCTTTGATAAAAAATATTAAAAGAAAGAATACACAAAAACGTAACAGTGTGTAAAGCAACATGGTGTCCACAGGTTATGTGGTCATTTTTGCAAATAATGAGCATAACTAATAAATAGTCTTATTCATAGATTGGACTTCAGGTGGGAACGTCAAAGTCAATGTCCTCTCGAAATTCCTAGCGTGTCAAGAAACAAGTAATATTGTGCCTGGATTTCATTCACTTAAACTTGTTGGCATCTGTCCTTGGTGCTGAACGTAATATCCTTCAGTTTGTGAATCGCTCGCCAGGTGGCGTGGAGAAGAGTAAGTAGGTTTGCTCAATGGTGGCTTTCATAAACAACAACGCTAAAGCACGTTTGTGTACATTAGCATGTATTGCTTTAAGCGATATATCGGCAACAGCTTTTTTTTTGTTTTTGTAACCCGAGGGACGTAAATCTCACGACAGTCCATCTATAGCGGAACATAGGTTAACAAATACTCCAATACACTACACTTAAATCAATTGTCTGCATGTACAAACACGTAGTTACATTTGAATACATAATGAATACTATCTAAATGATAGCAGTACCATTTACATTCGTCTTTGTCTTTAAACTAGTCGTGACACAAACTTATACATAGCCATTCCCGGCGACCGGTGTAGTATTTCTTGACGTTTTATGTCTTCTTCGGCTTTCTTTTCATGTTACGGCGACGGTACGTTTGCTGAAATCAGAAAAAAATAAAGTGTAATAAATCAGTCTATGTTTTGTTTATTCCGTATTCAGGAGCGCTATGTTTGCACTTGAATCCAAACGCAGCGTACAGGTTAACATGGATGGCACTCTTTTTAGATGTAGTACTATTAATCTCTTGGTCGCTTTAAAAAAGACTGGACGAGGACATATTCTACTATGAGTATGAGTCTGTCATTTGAATATTCGTTCAGAGTTGGAACAGACGCGTTGATTGGCCAAACCTGAGTTATTTGACTGCGGCGGTATGGGATCATCCAATCAGCAGAGGCCCCGCGCAGCACGCGACGGTCGAATCAGCTCATTGCGTGACGTCATCACCAGATGGATGTAATATGTCCAGTCTTTTTGGCAGGGAAGTGAGCGAGAGACCGTATATACTACAGCTAAAAGAGCTGTCATCCGGGCTAAGTTTAAGTACCTATCTACTTGACACATATGTCCGGCAGACCCTTGTTAGAGCCTGTCTGCATCTGCCTACTTTCTACTCAGTTTTATTACACTCATATATCTATGGCAGATATGTCCTTTTGAGTGTTGCATAGCCCCTAATATAGCCCTGTATCCACGTATATCTGTCTGGGAGACCAATACATCGGCGTCAACGTCTCAATGTCAGGATCAAGTTAACATGACGCATCAGGTAGAGATCCCGAGGTCAGAATAACAAGAAGGGCTGCACGCGCCCTTGAAATATAGAAGGGTGGAGATTCAGAAAAGCCATGTAGTTAATCAATAGAAAGAACATTTTTCTGCGAACGATTGCGTGTCCACTAGACCCCGATGTCCTTGTCCCTAGGTTGCAAATCTCCATATAATCTTATCTATTTTCAGCATACGGTTTAAAGTGAGCTTTGTGAGAAGTTACCCGCTTGTGAGTCCATGTAAACACGTATGCTTACATACTAGCATGTCTGTATACACTGCACAAGAACCTTATATCTTTAAAGATGTGATATGTTTTTTAAACACTGACGTAGTTTGTAGGGAGTATCAAATTGTTAAGTATTGGATCGATAGCTGAAGGTTATTTCGGCGTCTGGTATTGAAGCGTCCATCTATTTTCTAGCACGTTACATTTAGCCTTATTTCCAAAACCGATATAGAATAATAAGTACCTGTAGCAAGCTGCATTTCACTCACTGAAAGTTCTGTATTGGGTATTAATATGAACATGCAATTAAAACTTTGAGCTGTGAAAAACAACACTAACCCCCTGGTCCACCAGTTGACTCCTGACGTTTAACGTTTCACATCTGTCCATCATCGCTGCCAGCCGCTCCTCCCGTTCTCTGGTTTCCTTTCTGGCTGAATGCAGGATGCTTCTGTCGTTCCTGAGGATTTGTCTGGCGACGTCTACACCTGGGGAGAACACACATCCACTCTAATCAGTTTCAATCAAACACAATAGTAGATTATACTGCACAGACCTAGGTGAAACTTTCAGTTTCAATGGAACTAAAATGTCCGATTTCCCATGTAGACGACAAAATCTTACTCTATCATTTTTGTATTGTTCCACATGCTATATTTTCTTCTAAACAGTTTTCACGGAGAAGTGACCCAAGGTGGCTAGATTGGAAACACAGAGCACAAAAGCAGAAGAAGTATACGTGGGTTACAAAAGCATCACGATTCGGTTTATACACGGAGGACTTACTCATTGGGCCCATAGGCATGGTGCGGCCGTTAGGAGATCGGGCTCTGCGGGAAGTCGGAGTTCTTGGCGGATGAACGATTGCCCCTGGCTGATTAGTTTTCGACAGCTAACGCCTTGTAAAATGTTGAATGCCTTCTGACATACGCAGTCACTTTTAACTATACATCCTCTAAATTTATCCTCCTCAACATGACATTGAAATTGACGTGCGCAGGTCACGCATGCGCTCCATATTCGGTCATTACCCTTGTGTATATGTCAAGTGTTATTTAGCCGGTAACTATACCATCGGGAGTCGTACCAGGTATATTTACGGTGCTGGATGTGTTGCCCGTCCGCCCGGGCCCATTGGCATACGCCGATGAGTTTTACGGTGTTGGTTTACAATAATAAGAAAGGACTGAATAGATAGGCTGTCAGAAAAAAGGCCTATGGTTATTAGGAGTGGGGTCAGTAAAACACCCTAGAGCCGGCACATGGCTGCATGTTATCATTAGAGCAGCAATTTTATAACAGCCACACAATAACGTGGTGGCTTAGTGTTCCAAAATGGTATTGAGCGACACATCCTATTGATATGATAATAAAACTGTCTGATTCTGTATAACAGTAAATCATGTGTAACATAACTCAACTGACTGGCAATAAATACAACCATTGACCTCCAATAAAGTATCCGTGGAGCAAGATATTTAGAGAAGAACTAAAACAACAATACTGTGTCATAACTAAACTAATATTTGCTGAAACGTTACAAAATGGTTGGCATTCACATTTATTTTGTCTCACTAATATATCATACATGGTTGTGTGGGTGAAAACAAGCGTCTAGCTGTACATACGTTGCATACTCCTCTGTCATACACAACCGCAATACTCAAAATACCAGACTGGTATTTATACATTCGTAACCGACACCCCGTCGATGTACGTCCTTAGCATGTCTGTCACGACCAGGCCAGCGCGTTCCGGTTTAGGGATTCTATTTGTCCACGTCTAGACTTACATGACTCTTCCATTGAAAGCAGTAACAAATTTAACCATAAACTCTTTTTTAAGGGTTCTGCCTGTACCCGACTTACAAGATTGATTTTCCACGTAAGACCATACTGATTTGATTCTACAAATGATATCTACTACTAAGGAACCCCAAAAACATGATGCGAGCGTGCAAAAAGGTTTGCATTCATTATGAAATCTAAGGCGTCAAGAAGCTTGAACAAATGACTGAAAAGGGTATGGTACTCTAAACATTGGATTCTTTATTCTTGTTTTTTTAACATCTTGTTCGGATTTTGGAATACTTGCTGATGCCAACAAATGGTAATATGAGCCCTGCTTCCCTTCCTGTAGCATCTTCGAATTCTCTTTTTCCTTCCGACTTCTATCATCCTTCGACCGGAAGAAGTAGTATGGTCGCAAACATCGCGGATGTGTAATTCATATAATCGAATCAGCGAGGCCTACATGTAACAAACCAAAATACCACAAAAGCAATTACGTGTCTGGTGACACGAGGCAGACCAGTTTAAGTATGATATTACCAACAGAAGGGGCACGCACTCTTGTCACTTTAGCTGTTACTAGAACTCGTGAAAGCCATTCTTAACAATATATACCAGTAGTACCCGTTTACAAGTTACCACTTCTTTTTATATTGCAGGCCAAATGTTCGAAATGTAAGTCTTTATGAGTAGCATAACGAGTCAACGATTTATTTTCACTCAAGATGTCTTTACAATCTCGTGGTTTCAACTACATGTATATATATATATATATATAGGCCTCGCTGATTCGATTATATGGATGACATTCATAATAACATGACATATTTTCATTTTAAACAAAAGAACTTTATTTTTATTCAATTTCATTATATTTTACTTTGTATTTCAATTTTAAACAACATATCTTGCAACCGTGGTTATAGTTAGTTACGTCATCAAAAATTTGGCGTTATTTTCACACAAATATTCACTTTCATTTCTCTCACAGTAAAACAAGTAATATTAATAGTAATATGTAACGACTGACATCACAGACAACCCTATGATGTTACAAGATAACATCGTCTTCTTGCCATCAAATCTTTTAGAGTCTATGTTATAGTATGAAATGTCACAGCTTCAGTACTCTCATTACATCGTTTTATAAATAAAACTTCGTTCCTCTTCTTTATCCAGCGTATACTTATCCAATTCGTCCAGCATATATCTACTCCGCACTTCGCTGTTACTGTAACCTCTTCTTTGATCGTCGACGTCTCTGTTTGCAGAGAAATGGTGTTAAAAGATAAACTAATGTGTATAGCCTAAGGTTACTTATACATTGTATTATAGGTGTCGTCATTATATATAAAGAAACAAGAAATCGGAAAATAATTAAGACTTCCGGAAAATATTATAGGTTTTCGTGAACCAAGGGTCAGACACTGTGCAGAGTTGGAGCGTCAATCATGCAATTCTCGGCTTCCTGGATTCCCCCATGTCAACCCCTAGTTCCTGCTTACTCCCAGTCAGAATGATTGTATCCCATTGTCTCACCTGTTCGGCTACTGTCATCTTGGCGTTGAGAGTTTCCACCCTATCCATCATGTCGTCCAGGCGGCTCTGCCGTGTCTCCAGCTCCCACATCACGTTCTTCAGACGGCGTTTGTTGTCACGAAGTTCAATCTTGGACAGGTCATTCACTACAGCAGAGTATACAGCAAAGATAATATTTGTATGAGAATACATGTTATCATAGAGAAATCATAGAAAAAATTACTTTTCATATACACGGTGTCTTATTACGAATATTCATAGACATGTTGGTATGTTAAACTATCACATACTGTTCTCTTGTAACCTTGCAGAGTTATTCACTACTGGATCTAACTGATCACTAATAATATTATCTAATATCTAATAGAATATTCAGGTAGTTCAACTCACGGTAGAGAACCATGATTGCTTTCGTACGTCGAATGTCAGCTTCCGTAAGTCGTTTGCACTTGTTGTTTTCCACTGCGTAATTTGCCTGCTTTTGCCGTATTTATAGGATTTGGGGTGGGTGGGTGGTGTAGTGCCTTCATCAGCAGCAAATACTGTTACATGAAGACACGTGGTGTGTGGTATGTGTCATGTGTCATGACTTCAAGTATGTTAAAAACAGGACGTGCCTTTGACCTTGGACAAACAAGGTTACCCTGTAAATCGTGAAACTTTCGCTGTGTTTTTTTCTAGGTTTTCGTGGTGACCTCGCCGCGAATCTGTCTTCCTTGTATGATCGTTCTACAATTTTTTTCAACCGCGAATTTAAAGCACCGCCGAAAACTCTCTTTTTCTTTTACCACAAAATAAAGGGACCGCGAAAGTTTTAAGATTTACAGTACTACTTTACTGCTATTGCTTTTTAAAATTTGGATTTGCTACTGTAATGTGAACATTTAGCACAATAATGTGTTCATAATAGATTTTTCATTAGGACGCTTTGACTACTATTATATGTGAACCCACTTATACATGTATGGACACGTGCACTTATACTTTTTCATTGAAAGTCATGCACTTGTCACTTTATGGTGTGGACATTCCTATGATGATTCATGATTCTGCGTAACTGTGGCGATCAAAAATGCGGCACGTCAACTATTCACGTCTATACGTGACTCGGCTCTTGAAATAACAGCTGACGTTCACTTTTAAATGATACACTAACTTGTTTTTGCTTCCAAACGTTTATGCCTTTTTAAGGCAAGAATCCACGTGATAGAAATGAAACTTGTGAATGGTATTAGTGACTATAATAGAATAGCTACATCATTAGAATCTACCATACCATTCGCATGGTAATTCATAAGGCAACAGTATTTTTGTTAAGATGCCGTGAGGCGATTGGTCACACTGAGTACGTGAGGGCACTGACCATGGGCGTGTCACGTGGTAGAAGGAATCTGACGTAAATTACGCTTTGCACGTACTCTAGTTGTTTATCATGGGATATGACGTCATCTCTCGCACGAGTATGTTGTAACGGAGACAGAAATATGTAGAATGGAGTTATTTAAAGTTACCGAGAGTTCGAGTGAAACTAAAACCAGGTGGATAAAGATTAAAATTCCCAACTTCTTACTGGTACATTTAGTCCTCTCTTATAACACATATTCAGTTCAGTTCAGTTAAAACACATATTCAGTTCAACACATATTAGAGATGGTTATTTCCGGCAAAGCTGTGTGCTACATTGGTGGACAACATAAACGTCATGGGCCTTGACAAGCCAATACCAGTTACTACCGGTTATTTTCCAAGAAGGCGTCTGTGTTTTTCCAATATTCTCAATGCCGCAATGCCGTCATATTTGCGTCAACATGCCGTCTAATCATAGACACGCTCCACCCAAACCGGAAGGCCGGGTCTATAAATTGTGCGAACCGTCTCTGACAGTAAACAGCCGCATCTGAAAGGTGGATAAGCGAAGAAGAAGAACCAGCAAAGAGGAATCGTTCTTTGATCAACTGAAATCATATAGTATAAAGAAGATGGGCCCTCTAAGTGAGTAATTTTCTTTTTGCTTCGTGCAAGCAATACTTCGTGATAAGTTGTGCGTTTTCATAGTGCAGTCGATGTTGGAAGTTTTGAGCATTTTAACTGTTTTGCAGACGTTTTATTCCTTATTCATCGCATTTTTTTAATTGTATCAATCTTCATTGTTCATGTCTCATTCTCTTAGCGTAACAAAAGTTCTCAGAAACCAACCTCTTTTTTCGACTAATACCAATCTAAGTGAAAATAAAAGAAAAGCTTTTTATGGTTGTAAAGTAGTATATAAAGAACAGAGTAACGTTGGCTGACATGTACGTCCTTTTCAAACACCAGGCATAAATGTTGCGAGACAGTTACTCCAACGTCAGATGCACGTCCTTAGAACTGTGTCCAATGACGTCAGAGAGAGGGAGGAGCGACTGCAGTGTATGCAGGACAAGGTGGAGACTCTGGAAATCAGAAGGAGACTCCAGGAGAGGGTACGGACAACTGGAACATTTATTCTTATGTATAAACTTATCAGTTGAGTGCTCACGTCTTCCTGCATTGATTTGTTTTGCTTACAACTGCAAAACATTAATAAAATACAATAAAAATATCAAGAACGGCTCTGGAATATGGCAAGGGGTCTGGGTCTTAGGGAGGGGGATTCCTTTGACGCACTTTTCTGGCAAATCCCTACTAAATAAATGGGCATTTATACTAACAACCTGTCCTTTATTTTTACTGTGCTTGACTACAGACCCGCATCAGACAACCAACAACTCAACGTGCCGTTAAGCGTCACCAATGACAGCTGTATCATCACGGACACTTCTATAGATAGCGTCGCATCATCATGATGATCCGCGTGTCTTCTGATGAGGGTTACTCGTATTCCATAAGTTGAACGAATGGATATTGAGGTGATACGGATCATCGCATCGAAATCACGCTTAGCCATTAATAGCCATTCCGTTTCTTCTCTTGTGTTATCACTGAGATGTAATGTCGTCTTATAGAGGCATTCCACTCATTCATTTCTCCAAACTATTTTAGTTATATTACAGATAATTATGTTTTCCCTGTCGCCGAAGCATGGATATATATGTTAAGCTAAGCGTGTTCAGCTGATGATCTTATCCATTCTTGATTGAGTTCATGATATTTTCATGATGTTTTAAATAATCTTTACGTCTGTTAAGTCTTAAGTATTTGATGTATATTGATGTACAAGATGACCGTTAATTGATTAGTCCTATTGAATTTAATCGCTGTCAAGTATTATTTATGTGAAATGCTATGAAGAGGCTTTGCCTTCAAAGGTAGTAGATGATGGGCCGTAACTATGACAATGTAGAAATTATTTCAGAAGTACATGCATAATGTGACATAATGTATTCAGGTAACATAATGTATTCAGGATGAAATTCTAATAAAAAAATCTCAACCGTACCATTCCCGGCTGTTTATCTGCTAATAATTAGTTACTTGTTGTTATGATAAATTTTCTAAAAATACATGTATGTCATGATGAAATATATTCTAATGCCAGATCTATCTTAACTGTTTTTTAAACTATAGGTAGGATTTATTGTTGACATTTTTTGCTATGGTCTAATACAAAGAGTGAACCTATGAAAATACGAAAATAATACTTAAGGTATATTGCTGACGCGTCATTTAGGACATGTCATTGCTGATCGCATGTGGTCGTGTGTTATTGGCGGACGCTGGATGGAATATGAGGCCAAGCTGTTGCTCTCTTAACCTTCCGTAAGATAAATATTTAGAGAGCGAATAGATTTGTCACATCGCATCGATATCCTTATGTCCGGAGCGACCGTACTGAGCGGCCAACATTGGATTTGAGTGATCCCTATAACTACCTTCGGACATGATGAAAGAATTCAAGTATGATTTAAAGACAATAAAAATAATAAAAAGAAGATTCTATGAAATCCATTTAGCAATCCTTATTCTCTCATCGGTCGCCCAGTGGTCGTAGACGGGAAAATGTGAAACTGCAACCGTTCAACAGCGTCAGTTCATGTCAGTAACCCGTGAGGAATGCCAACGTGGAGCCAGGAAGCGAGTCTCGGGGGTGCCAACATCGAAGTCAGGGACAGCCATCACTAAAGGGCCTGTCATCTACGATTTTAACGTGGTAACCTCCTACATGTAGCCTCCCATAGAGACTAAACTATGATAATAACGCATCCCCGGGTGTCTCCCTGTAAAACAGGGGTCATCATTTATTGGATATATGTTATATATATAACTTTTACGATCCCCGCGATGGCATGAACGATTCCGCCACAATCGTTTATCAAGTACATAACTACAGTATCTACACTGAAGTTCGACAAAATTAGGGTTTTCCCAGCCAAGGACATAATATAAAACCTGGGGATTAGTTTGTGCGTAAATCACATTGGATTCGCCGTAATAAAACGACGACTTCCTGGAAAATGACGCCGGTAGTGCTCATAACAATAACAAGTCATGGCCAGTTATGATTGACAGGAGAAAACTGTTCAAAGTGCTTTTGCGGACAACTTTTGGTAGTAAGTTATAACCAACAAACGAGAGAGAGGCCTGTATACCTTCAACGACATAATAGTACAATGTAAAATCAGTGAATATGAATAAAGAAGAGCTTTAAAATTAATGTAACAGCAGGTGTTTTTAATGGCCGTGTTCACCGTGTTCCATTAGGAACGGTTTATTTAACTTCCCCCCCCCCCCCCTC